ATATTCTTGCTATGCAATTCAAGCTTGATTCAAACTCCCAGTAATCCTCCTCAGCCTCCTGAGCCTCCTGAGGGCTGGGATTACAGGTGTGTGCCTCTACATCTGGCAAAGAACCCTTAAATCCCTATCAAGACAGTTTTTTAAAAATGGGCAAAATACTTGCATAGACATTTCTCAAAAGAAGATAAACTAATAGTTAATAAGCACATGAAAAGATCTTCAAAATGATTAGCCATCAGGAAAATGGAAATCAAAACTACAATGAGATAAACTAAAGCACTGACTCAGATAGCTATTGCTAAAGAAGATAAGTATTTAAAGAATGTGAACAAATTTAACCTTTATACACTGCTGATGGGAATGAAAATGGTATAGCAACTCCTCAAGCAATTAAACACAGAGTTGCTACCTGATTCACCAATTCCAATCCTAGATGGATAACTGTTTACATAAAAACTTGTACACAAATGTTCATTGTGTACCTTTCACTGATGAATCTAGATTAAGCCAACTACCCTTATCATATCAATACCTTCACCACATTCTAACTGCAATATTCCCACCTTTTTGTTTTTTGGGGGGCAAATACTTATTCTCAAGTTAGTTTCTCCTTCAATGCTTACTCCAAGCTCAATTCCTACTTTTTTTTGTGAAGATGGTCTCTCCTACGTATAAATGCACAGCCTTACCAGCCAAACTCACATGGTAAACTGAGATCTTAGACATCATCTTGTCTTTGGATCAGCAGTACCAGCAATACTTAAGAGCAGATTAAAGTGCAGAATCTTAGACCCAAAACAGGGTGATTGAATCAGAATCTGTAGTTTAGTTAGATCCTCAGGTTTAAGAAGCACCAGCACACCAATAAAAAGTCAATTAGCAATTGACTTTTTAAATCAAGAGTTGAAATCCACATCTTTTAATTCATAATGCAGAGTGCTTTTCACTAAACCATTCCTTACTTTTCAATTTATTCAGAAATAGATTTTGTTTTCTTTTGAGACAGATCTTGCCATGTTGCCCAGACAGGCCTTGAAATCACAATCCTCCCACCTCAACCTCTTCTGTACCTGGGATCATACGTATGCCCCATAGCACCTGACCGATGGATAGTTCTTATTGGCCTATGTCTTATATTATTACATTCTCTTCTAATTCTTACATTGTTATTTTCTTCTATGTCTATTTATTATCTTCTTAACCAACTTATATATTCCTATATGATAAAAAACTGTATATTGGGTTTTAATTGTTTCCAGAGTCTAAATTCATTTCAACAATTTTTTAAAAATCTCAGCCAAGGAAAATTTAAATTACTAAAACTTGAAAGTGTGAATAATACTGAAAATCTTCCTGGGTCTGATCCACAGTCTGCATGAAATAAAGCAATAGAGTAAATTATTTAATTTGTTTTGGAATCTCTAATGTAACGATGTAGAACAAGTTAGATGTCCTTCCTCATATTATATGCTCTGTATGCCTATTACTGCCATTGTATTCTGCACATCATTTTATAATTATTTATTAGGAATCATTATTCCCTGTTTTCCTGTGTCTTTCAGGGCAAGATCTGTGTCTTATTTGATTCTGTATCTTATATACAAAACACAAATATGAAAATACTTGATTAATGACTAATAATAAAATTTTCACAAGACACTAGAAAATAGCTTTAAATCTGCATTATACTATAAGAAAAAAAGGGCTGATCTTATGTCTATAGACACTCTATAGTTTTACTTATTGATTAAAAGCATAGTAACATATTTGCTCTATTTCTGAGTGTCTTTTACAACAAAAATGCACAGAGAAAAATTAAAATATGATAAATGAGGGAAAAATCGAGGATAGAAATCACTTCTAATTAATCTCTCCTTTGTGATTCAAAGTAGGGCTTTATTTTCAGACAAAAGAATAAAATGTAAAAAAAATAAAATAAAATGTATAGGGAGACAAAGGAAGAGATTTTTCCTTTTTCAGGTGCCCCAGGAACTTACTGTTTGTCTCCTTCTAGATGTAAAGGGAAACTTGAAGTTAAGGGTACGTACTTCTCTTCCACAAAGAAAGTTGCTTTCAATTGATCAAACACTGAGGAATCTGTCATTTCTTGAACAGAAACAGCTGAGACTGGAAAGGAGAATGACAATGAACTTTTAAAATTTTCTTTTGCCAGGCATAGTGGTGCAAACCTATAATCCCAGCACTAGGATAAAAGGACTGCCACAACCTTGAGGCCAACCTGAGCCACGTAATGAGTTCAAGGCCAGCCTAAACTACATAGTGAGACCCTGTCTCATTAAAAAAAAAAAAAAAAAAAAAGAATTAAAAATGAATTAAGTAAAATTTTCTTTCATACTTAATGGAAGCCAAACTCACATTTCACATTATTGTGTTAACTTTATTTTTTCACAAATGTTTGAGATGTGAGCAAAACCCATTCAATGCTCAAATTTAAAAATATTTTTTACAGTAAAAGACACATTGCCTTTAATCCCCCTTAAAATATTTCCTTTTATTTCAAACCCACTTAATCCTTCCTAAAGCAGTTCTAGAAGTCCTCTTTAGTGTCTTTAATTTTTAATCTTTTTTAAAAAAATGTTTTTAGTACAGGGTCTACAGGGTCTCACTACACAGATCAGACTCATAGTGATCCTTCCTGTTTTTAAGCCTCCCAAGGGCTGGGATTATAGGCATGCACCACCACACCCAGTCTCATTAGCTGGCTCAGCATGCTCCTGGGGGCAGGGCCAACATGGCAGGTCAAGGATCAAACCCCAAGCCCCTGTGCCTGCCTAAGCAGGCACTTTAATCCACTGAGCTATCTGGCCGGCCCTTAGTGAGTGTCTTTAGTTGTGCTGTTGTGGATGCCTTAGTGTGAAGAATCAATTCAAATGCTTACCTTGTATGGTAATTTTGACTTTTAGGAAGGGCCAGAAATCACATAGTGCCGTATTCCACGAATAAGGCAGATGAAGACACCTGTGAGATTTTTATTTTTTTCCTTCTCAAATTATTTATGTTTTTAAATTTTAGCTTATTAGTACCTGTGTGTAGTCCATAACCTTTACATTCCTTGTGGAAAGTTGGTACATGTATGTATCTTTTTTTTCTTTTGTACTGGGAATTGAACTCAGGGCCAGGCAGGTTCTGTGCCACTGAACTTTTTATCCCTGGCCCTACATAACATATCTGAATTCCTTTCTTCATCCTCTTTTCATTCATTCCCCTCTCCTCCCATCTCTTATTCCCCTCCCTTTTAGTTTCCTATACATGTTTGCAGTGTTTTTGCAAGCCTAGTTTTGCATTGGATGGCACTAGGCAGCACCATTCACCATATGCTGATCATACCTCTTAAAGACATCCATGAGGGGAAACTATCTGCTCAGGCCCCCCTCCTGTCCCTCTCTTGGACAGTAGCTTTCTTGCTCTCAATAAATATATTCTGCTCATAAAAAAAAAAGACATCCATGAAATACGACTTCTATAACTACTTCAGAAAGTGGTACAAATGCTGGCCTAAATGTGTTCAAAGTAAGAGGGGGTACTGTGAGAGGGATTGATGTCAATATGTCTTTTATTGTTAACACAATTTTTAAAATTTAAATATTCAGCATAAACACTGACAAAGGTTCTACAATCTGAGGTACAGGATCTCAGCATAAATCCTGAGGGGATTTCACTGACCTTGTCAGACCCAAAAGCTACAACTCTTATTGCATAGGTCCTGCTTTACCTTGGTCTTAACCATCCAGCAGAGAAGTATAAAACGAAGTATAAGAAGTAAAGTCATGCTGTTATGTTGAGCTGTAGGGGACTGAGGTCAACAATTTCTGACATTGCTAGTGAAGCAGAAGACCCAATACTATTATGGACTGCTGGACTCTTTTAGAATATTTTGCGGAGTTAACACACCTATAATATTCAAATAACGGAACTTAACAAAAAAGGGGATACAGATGAATGTCCATTTTGTATCTGTGTATTCAAAATGGTTAGGATAGATATATAGTTGCATTCTCTTTATGAATAGAGGGATTTGTTCTAATAGTGTTTGTAAATAGGATATCATGTCCGCATCTTTTACAGCAATTAACCACTAGGAAGAATGTATGCAATGTGTTAATTATTGAAAGTGTCCTACCTATTTGGTTTGAAACTGTCTCATTGCTATTTGTTTCTCAATAAAATTATGGGGAAAAAAAGAACACAGGGGAGACATGCAAAACAAATAAATAAATATTCAGCATATACTTTGATTACTTCTTTTAATTATTCCAAACGGATACCTGATTCCAAATATCTTGTCATTCTCATCTTTATAACCTGCCTCCAACAACACTTCACTATGGTCAGAACAACATCCCCAGAAACATACCATCTTTGTTTTTCTAGCTTCTTTTTTACTAAGATAGCACCATCATCCCAGATAGTCCTGTTTATAATGTACTTCATAAAGCTTTCATCAACTATTCCAGTTTGTGCTGATCTATATTTCTTGATAGTCCATAATACAGTCTGTAGCACTCTCCTACTTAGTCATAAACAGTTATATATTTAAATTTTTATGCACCTATAGGTTGTTTCCCAAATTAGACCCTTAATTCTTTAAGGAGATCCACCATGTCAAATACTGGTGTGAGCATGTGCAACTGATTATTCTACTATCAGTGGAGTATTCAATTGTTAGTGATTGTGCTTACTAGGTTTTTGTTTTTGTTTTTGTTTTTTACCTTGAATCAATCATTTAACATCTGAGTCTGTCTGATTGAAAAAAAAAAAAAGAGGTTTAGTGATTAAGAATATAGGTTCTATAATTACTCTACCTGAACTTTAATCTTTGTAGCAATACTTACTAATTTCTTATCAGGTAAATATCATAACTGCTTTGTACCATAAGTACAAATTAGAAATAATGATGGTTATTTCATAGTCTTATAGTAAAGATTAAATGTTATGAGACATACAAATTATTTAGACCAATTCGACCCAAAGCCCAGGGTTGGCATGTGAGTGGGACCCTCGGGGCCTGCCAGATCCTCATTTGACCCAAAGCCCAGGTCCAGCATGTGAGTGAGACTGCCTGGGGCCCACAGGATCCAGATTCGACCCAGAGCCCAGGCCTGGGGCATAGGCCTGGTGTGGAACCCTTCATCAGAACTCCCTGCAAAGAGACTAGAGGGAAGACCCATTTAGCTGATCCAAGAGCAGAAACATCTTGCCAGAGTGTCACAGAGGGTTCACCTCCAAGGGCTACAGCAGGAAGAAGTGGAGCACAGCAACCAGACACAAGCCACACCACCTGGACAAGTTTGAACTTGATAGATCCGGACCTGGTGCTAAGGTAATAACTCTATCTAAACTCTACACCAAAGGTTAGAAGACAGTGCTATAGAAAATGATAACAAGGAGCAAAATGCATTCTCAGACCCCAACCTCACCAGAACAAATGCAGGAAACAAAAGCATAGAAGAAATTGGAAATCACACACCTGAAATCTCTGAAATAATAGCGTCAGAAGTAAAGAAACAACTGCAGAAAGGTCTAGAGGAAATCAGATCAGAAATAACTTCAGAAGTAAAAAAAGAAATAATAACTATAATGAAAGAAGTAT